GGTGGGGAAAGACACAAGGGGGCACAAGGGACAGGGCCGTCAAATCAGACCTCAGCTCCCGAGAGACTGAAGATCCTGCTGAAGGAGCACAGAGACGCAARATGAGTGGACTCAATGAGTTTGAAAAGTGGCTTTTAGAGAAAGAACAAGACATAAAAAACAGTTTAAAATGTTGACGTTTCACTGATTGCCCTTATTTTGGGTTCACAACAGCTAAAGTGCCTTTTTATTGCATGTAAAGTTAAACAATGCGAGAAAAATACAATGTTAAAAAAATTAAAGAAAGCTTTTAGTTTATAATATTTATGCATAACTCTACAACGATTAGTAATCTAATCTAATCTATTCTAATCTATAACAAAGCTTATTTGGTGAGGTAGTTTCCGATTTTCAGCAGAGTGCTGTATTTGTACATACATTCCATCCTGCCGTGTCAGCGTGTATCCGTAGTGGGGATAGTTGACAAAAGACACGTTCACCCCCACCAGAGGGGTTCCATCTGTGGTCAACACCTGACCCCGGATAAGTGACGCCAGGCTGCAAGAGGACAGAGAAGACACCGTGAGGGAGCGAAYGTCCATCCACCCACCAAGTCTGCCCTGCTGGCCGCCCATCATCATCTGATGGGATTAATCTCGCCGTCTTTCAATCACYCAGTTTGCCCGTTCGCTCGGTGCTCCGGTCTTCCATCGCTCATTAATTAGAGACAATCAGCAGCCGCCAGTATCGGGATGAGTTTGTGTCAATCACGTAAACAAACCGTGACAAAAATCAATGAATACGTGCACGTCACCACGAGAGCCTGTGTCCAAGGGAACTGATACGCATCGAATAACCTTTAAACATTTCACTCTGATGAGTTATTTCCCTTGTCGCAAATACGGGGTCAGGACAGAAGGTTCAGCACCACGGACAGCGCTTTCAAAACAGCAGAATCAATGGGTCTTTGGCAAAATTGCACCCATTTTTTTAAACATGTTTGTAGCTGAGCATTAATTTACGTATCATGTTTTATAGGAACATTAAAAGATTAAGAAATTAGCCTTTAAAATGACCAGTCTCTTCATGTTAATGTAATCATTATTGCTTGTTATATATTGTCAAATGTATTGACGTAAATGCAGAAAACAAAAGTACTGAAGCTGTCAGCTGCTGAGTTACGAAATAGTTGATTTCAGTTCAGATTGCTGGTGGTTTACATAAAATACTTGATTCTATTTCTTTTTTATTTGATGATAGACACACGATAGATTCATACAGTATATTTTATAGCTAACTTTCATTACTATTAGAGATAAGATAACATCTGACTTAACTGTAGTAGTATTTGAAAACCAGAGCATGGTGATTGTGTTATGGCCAGTCAATTTATTCATAAAAATATGTTCTCATTTTAAAGCTTTATTCTAGATGCTCCAATGTAACTTCCAATATGTAAAGCAGACTATCACTGTGCACTGCTTCAAACAACAGAACTCTCTGTGACTACCATCAGTACCAGCTTTTCAAATACATGCTAACTCAGTTCTGTGACTACCATTGCTGCTAGCTCAGGAGTGAATGAACAGCGGCTCAACTTTGACCTCCCATTCTACTTCAGCACTTGCAAAGTGTGAAAAAAATATTTCAAGCCTGACTTTGTACATTTAAATTTTGTTTTTGGTTTGAATCTAACTTTTCCATTTATTTTATTAATTTTTTATTACATTTTAAAGATTTACTTGTGGATTAGATGATTTTTTTCAGTAATTCAAAGTTAAAACCAGGACAAAACTATTATTGTCAAAAATAGTATGTTACTTGTCTTAAAATCATCAGGACAAGGTGATCTTTACAGACAGTCATTCTGTTTTATTTTCTGCACAAGACGTTTTGTTATTTCACTTTCCTTTATCGTAGCACTAAATAAACGTACTGCCCGCACCGAAAGATGAAACTTTTTAGTCAATTTTTGGATGTTTCTGTCAGGCCTGCGTGTCTGTCTAGTTCTGTCATACCTGGAGTTGAACGGGCTTTCCCCAGGGATGATGTGGGTACTGTCCCGCCCCACGAGCATCTTGACACGGTCGTAGAAGGATCGAACTTTGGGCTGGGACATGGGGTTCTGCTGGATGACTTGCAGAGGGTCCCTGGAGCCCTTGCACAGGGGACTGTTTTGACAGGGACTCTGAATRCAGCAGTCTGGGTCCATGCAGTCTGTCAGTCCATCTGACAAATGGCCAGAAAACTCAGTTATGAACGTAAAAATAACAAAACACTTCATTWAAAAAGATGACAATCTACTGGTCTCATTGAAGAAAGATGAAATTTAAAATCTCGGAAGCTCCTCCCAGGTAACCTCTATCTTAATTCTTTCTCATATTTCTCACCATTTTTTCCCCATAAGCGTTACCATCAAATTTTCAACTGCTCCTCCTAATTTACCTCCTTCGTTGTCCTTGTTGTCTGCACAGGAAGTCTCCATGGCAACACTGCATCCAGGGCCCCTCCAGCCCGTCTGACATTCACAGTGCCAACTCTGCTGACCCATGGTGCACTGGCCGTTCCCGTTGCACAAGTTAGGACAGCCGTCTGGGTAAAAGAAAGACAGGAGAAAAGAAGGGGGGAGGAGGGGAAAAGGACGAGAACAGAGTAAAACTTGTTTTATAATTAATGAAACACAGATGAGCCACYATGATACTGAGTCGGAGTCAGTTGGATCCGAAAAGCCGCCGTCTTTGGCGAACGTTGAGGAATCGGTTTAAGTCAGCAGGTCAGTTTTCATGCACATCTTTCCATCATTATGTCTCTCAACCTGAGGGATGGCTGCTGATGGCTGTCTGTGTGGACAGAGGTGGATGGATCACTTTATTCGCTCAGTGGATGGAACCCCACCCAATCATCACTCTCTTTCTCCCTCTATTTATGATTCAGTGTAGGTAATGGGATTCTGATGGCCTGAGAGTAATGCTTTCTCGTGAGAGAATGAGATTATGTTCAGCAGTGTGTGTGTGTGTGTGTGTGTGTGTATGTGTGTGTGCATGGTGGCAGTGTATGAACTAATAAACCTTCACTTAAGCTTATGCAAAAAATAAAATAACATAAAATAAAAAAACTACCAAAGTCTAAGGCCTCAGAGCTAAGTAAGTCAGTAACTAGCATAGCAAGGGCACCCTGAACTGAACATCAGCGTGACTTTGAGGCAAGGAAAGTCAGATAATTACAGGAGACACTACTATTATTTCTCAATGTAAAGATCAGCGGCGCTGATTTTAATATATTATTGCTGAATTAAAATCCATTCATCCATTAACTGTACCTGCTTCTTCCCGTTTAAATTGTGCTCATCTGTAGCAGTCACTGTGTGAGAGGAGGGGTACACCCTGAACAGGTCCTGTCACAAGTCAGTATTTTTTTTCAGCAACAAGAAACTTGAGTGTTTAAAGTTTGTGGTTCTTTTTGACTGGATGATTGGGACCATTTTTGTTCCAAGCAGCAAAGCCTTTTCTGAGCCTTGTTACCAACTGCACGGTTGGTAAAATAAAATCTCAGAAGGTGTTAAAGCTCCTCTTAAAGGGATAGTTTGGATTAATTTGGGCTGGGGTTGTGTGAAGTCAGTATCTTACCTGCAGTAGACAGCAGTCAGAGTGAGCTTAATTTGAAGAATCAGGGATAAATATTTGTGGTGGAATCAAGTTAAAAGCAAGGGTCAGATTTTATCCATTAAATTGTTTTTATGATAACTCAAATGAAATTAAAACGTCATTATTATGTTGCATTTTGCCTCAGAAAAAAAATAACTGCAGTGAATCAGAATGTTTACCAATCATTTGTGAAAAWAATGTTCATTTAAGTGTGTTTTCCTGTGTCTTAATATTGCCATAAAGCAATTTGGAAAATATAAGTATTATAGTTGGTACTTTCAGGGATGACAATCATAGTAGAAGACTATTGGACCATGAAAACGTACTATGTTTAATTATGAGGTAAACAACCTACAGAAAATGCTATATAATGGATTTTTATTTACATTACATTTGAATCAAATAGTTAGGCAGACTGGGAAGACTTAACGTTATTTTTCAAGGAACCTCCATTTTAAACACAGTTGGTCTTCTGAGTATATAACTATAAACTTTCTTTCTAAAAAGACCAACTGATGCAAAAAGGGATGCAGCGTGCACTAATTTATGCTCTGTTATTAGTGCTCAAAAACTAGAAAGATACAAATCTTTTCAAATGCAGTTACACATTGTAAACAGTAATATTGTAATAGTGCCGACAACATAGCACAACCTCTGTTCAGTTTGATATGAGCACGGACAATTAAAATACTCAAATTCAAGCCTTATGTGTGGATTTTTTCTTTTCTTTATTCAATCTTAGTTCAGTTTAGACTTTGGGTGTACATGCATTCCCTTTGAACTACTATCAAATTTCTATAGTTAATTTAGGACACTCACTGGACTTTGAAAACTATCGTATTTTTGCTTTTAAATGTCTTTTCAATYAAAGAAAAATGCTCACATCAAGGCTTATTCTGATGGAAAAGCAGCATAAAGGGACTCAGTTTTCAACTTTTATTAATTTGTACAAGTCCTGTGCTCCTGAATGCTGTCTGCTGCAGGTAAGACATTGTCTACTCACAACACCTCCACATAGACTTTCTTTGAAAGACATCTAAAATAAACCTTCAAGACAAAAATGTTTTTTTTTACAATTTGAGTAGAATTTTCTTACTTTTCATCTAMCAAAACACCTAACCGCTGGTTCTAACTTAATATTAACAATTTTATGTCTAATGCTTCTATAGAATTTCCAAAACGGGTTAGATTTAAAAAAAAGTTATAATTTCAGTCTTTTGGGGCCACTAAATGACAAAAAACAAGACAGGTATTCTTGTGTATGAAAACTCAATAAGACATTTTCATACTCAGTTAAATCAAATACCTCCAGTCAAAAACGGTAATATCTTTTACCTCCTGGCCTTGTTTACCATTTCCTTCTAACAATCTCTATCAGCCATGTCTTACACTCACGCATGAATCTGTCAAGGAGTGGGAGAAAGGACTGATGACACCCAAAGACAGTGGTTTCCCCACCGCATCTCAAAAAGCCACTAACAAACTTGTCACAGCCCTTTTCAATAAATGAGGCAGCGGGACGCGGCACTCTTTATGKCTGCCCACAGGAGATAGAGACGACGACAGGGCCCGGCTGTTAAAACAATACGTACACACGCCCCGGCGCCGCTCACCCCGGAGATACCACCTGACATTTCTCACTCAGCGGTGGCGCACCGACACGGAGCGAGGACGGGACAAAAAAAATCACCACAGCAAGAGATTATGAATATGAAATACTTTTTTTTTTTTTTTTTTACTGAGTCCTTCTCTGTGGATTAATGAACATATTCTCGCTCAAGTTGCACCGGAGGTTCTTGCCCTCCGACAAATCGCTGCATCAATAAAGCCGTGCATTATGAATACAAATAGCGCAATCTAAGCCGTGACAGCAGCTAAATTAACAGGCATTTCAACCCGATTGGCATTTTATCATGTCTCAACCAACGGGCGATGAGGGGGAAAGTCAAGAAAAGGACTTAGGGGGAAAAAAAAAAGGAGAAAAAGAACAGGCGCCATCTTGATTTGGACGCTGGGGAGGCGGAGCAGCTTTCTGAGCTCAACGAGAGAATTCAAATCAAAGGTTTTATCTTTAATTATTACCATTCCCTGCATCAGGGGACCGCTCATGATGCTGCATTAACAGTCAGGCTGGAATAGATTGTCCCCAAGTATTGAGCTCGGGGAACAAAGGCAGTTAGCAGTGATTGCCTGTTAAATGGAGTTGCCATTTAAAGCAGCCAAATACTTATGAAGCACCCGGACAGGACAATCCATAGCGGGCATTGATTGGCTTGCCTGGGCAGGCCAGAAGAAGGCTCCTCTCTCTTTAATGTCAGGACCCAGTCAATACTCCCCCCATACTAAGTAGAATAAAGTGGGATATCAGAAACTATTAAGCCCACCCTCYTCAGTAATGTAGTTGGACTCTGATGAAATCCCCTTAAAAAGGAGACGAAATTGCCTTGGGTTATGGGTCAGCACACACTCTCTTGTTTGGTATGCAGTGTCTGTGGGCTGGGATGGCGGGCCGTAATGTGACTGTGCGAGGCTGAAGAGAAGAAAGATGGGGGAGAAAAGGCAGACAGATACAGGGGAAGAGAACGRGAACAAAAGAGGAGAGACGCAACCAAGTCCGAGACGTTGTAGTGAAAAGTTCCAGCCTTCTCTCGCCACCCTCCTCTGCGCTCTCTTCTAAAGGTCATCGAGAAAAGGTTACTGCTATAAATCCACGGCCACATCTCTCGGACCGAATCACTTCTAAAATAAGTGTCCACTCGTCCACTCCTCCTATTTTTAACAAGTTAGAAATTAAAGATAACTTTGCCTCGCATTAGCCGGACTGCCTCTGCGCTTCCCTCGGACTTCCTCTAGTTTTTTTTTATTCTTCTCCTCTTCCTCTCCGTGTCTTGCTCCCTCTTTAACCCTGCAATTTACCTTTTCTCTGGGCTAGCTCTTCATAAAACAATGAGAGCTGTTCCATTAAGCATAGAGGGTGAGAGGACACTCTCAACGGTGCTCCAGGGACCTGTCCTGTCAGGCAATCTGTGCCGCTACGTGCAGCCCGACCGARGTTCAGCTGCGAGGCCATCCAATAAGCATTCTCGCTCAGCGTCGGAGGCAAGTCACTTCAGACCTGCGGTCCTCTCCGTCCGCCTTGATGCCTTAACCTTAACTGGTATTCTGTTTATCTTAGCACGGCCTGAGCCTGAATTTCTAGGCTTATGTTGGCCGGGACGGGCTTTAATGTAAAGATTAAAAGTCCGGACTGAACACTCGCTGACACACACACACATGCACACGTAATGGATTTATTAGTCACTCTACCATGGCTGTGACTGTTGCCACAAAAACCCAAATGTAAAGGCTCACACACACTCACTTAACAGCGCTGCATTTTTTTGACACCACATTAATGCCTTGCATCAGTGGCCTATGAAATTTACCAATTACCTCAAGAAGTTCTTCACGACTTTGATTGTTTTCTCCTTGTGTGAAACAACTGTGTTTATGTGGAACATGACTGAAATACCTGAGTGTCTTTTCAGGTTTCACACGGGACATACTGATGGGAAAACACGCATGCACTACCACACAGCCACAGCACAGCCCCTCGCTCAGCACTTTGGATACCACACGGAGGGGGGGGCTCTACAGTAACCCCACAACACATCGAGGCTCAATGACAGCTCAGCCCTGCTGCGGTGCACTGGAAGAAAACAGGTTGTAGGTGGTTAGGGAGGGATGGGGAGGGAGTGCACCACACGTAGGGAGTCGTCATTGAGGCAGGCGCCCTGGTCTATAATACGGACAGATAGCACCACAGAGTCTACAGAGCCAAGCCAGGCCAAAAACCCACAGATGCAGCAGCTAGTTTCTACCACCACAGGCTAAGAAACAAAACACCAGAGTCAAGATACGGTACCTGCTTTGTCAACCATGCTCCCATGGTCTGCAGTGGGAGAAAATGTGCAGAAGGTAAATATCGGGGAGAGTCATTTCGTTTGTTTTGAAAGAAATGCAAGCAACATCATGCAGAGCTGAAATGAATAACAGGCAGGCTCGCGATAAGCTCACACTGAGAATGTCTGGCTGCTAGTGAAGTGTGCTTTGCGCCAAGCTGAAGCCTGACAACTCTTTCATCTCGGGCTGATTCTGCAGTCAAAGCTGCCCTACTTTCTGATGGGGGAAATGGGGAGATCATAAACTGTTATTCCCCCGTGCATATGTACGTGTTGGCGTGCGTGCGTCTAGGTGTGTGTGTGTGTGTGTGTGTGTTTTCTATCGGAGTTTTGTTTGGGTTGTGTATCAGGCTGCAATCACAGTGCCTCTGGTGACAAGGAGAGGAGACTTTGTGTCTCACGGCGCTGCAAAGGGAATCAAAGGCATCTGGCACTCATCCATCCAAAGTGACAGTGATGTCAATATGAGACAGTGATTGACTGACAAAAGACACACACACACACACACACACACTCTATGCACATGCACACACACCCTACATACACAGGCAAATAATTTGAGTTCATTTTTGATCACAGTGAGTTAAAGAGTTTTGCYTTTCATAGCGTAACTTTGGTGTTTCAAAGGCCATAAAAGAAGTAAAACTCCCGGGGTGTGCAGTTGAGAGGCAGACTAGAAACAACTAAATCTTGCTCTTTTGTAATCCTCCCACCCTCACRTCTTTGAAGCTCCTTTGCTCACCTCACCCACCTTCTACGTCAGCCCCCGTCTCCACTTCCCTGTGGCATTGCTTTTAGCCCAACCTCTCACTTCCAAATTAACAGAGCAAGAAAAGAAAAAGGAGCTGCTGTTTGAGTCTGAATCCTGTTCCCCTGTGAAAATCTGTTCCCCCTACTGGTTAACCTTAGAGAGAATCACTGGTCCAGCCCTCCCAACACAGAGGGAACAGATTTTCACAGGGGAACTGAATTTCGTACAACACCGGCATTTTTGTGCCCCACCACGTGTCAACAACGCAGACACACACCAAACACACACACACCAGACAGTGACCTCCAGCCAGGTCTTACCAATGGTGCAGTGCTCTCCGTTCCAGCCCTGGTGGCACTGGCACTTGCCGTCCTTGCAGGTCCCGTGTTTGATGCAGAGCGGATTGCACACGCGCTGGTCGCAGGCTGCGCCCGTCCAGCCTTCCTCGCAGCGGCAGGCTCCGCCCATACACACCCCGTGGGTTCCGCAGTCGACCGAGCACACCTCTGAAAGCAGCAGGACAAACTGGGGTCACGGACATTTTGGAATGTGAAAAATACTTCTTTTCTGTTATTATTAGGCTTATTTCTTTCTGCCAAGAAAAGTGGGAAATATTATAATTGTTTTGTTTATTAGCAAAATATCTAATGAAGCATTGGACAGATTTTATTAAAGTAACTCAAACACATAAATGCATATTAGCAAGTTGATCTAGAACAGAGGAGCCCAAAGTGGGGCCCGCTCGCCAAGCTATTTGATTTGGCCCACCAACAGTTGCCAAAGTTACAAGGTTGAAACCTGTCATCCTATGTAGAAACACAGTATTTCCATTGGTCAAATGACTATATAAAAAAGCTGTAGTGAAGGTAGTTTTCATTCATGGTGCTGACCTTATCTTTGATTTATTAGGATTAAACATGAAACATGAAATGACAAGAAATATTTATATCAGATTTAACCACACATGTAGATTTGCACACTTTATAAGGCCACAAAAACTCATATTTTRTCAATTTATGAACTGTCCCATGAGTCTTTGCTACTTGAGCGTATGGCAGACTTTCTCCAAGTGCACAGACTAAAACAAAAGAGGGCCATTGCGTAGCTTAAACGTTAAAATTAAATGACTTTACTTAAAAAAGTATTTGTATTTCATGTATTATATTACTGCATTTGATTACTGCATTTGTCCCTGGATAGATTTTCATTTTGGCCCTCTCAGGGAAAATATTTGGGCACCCCTAATCTAGAATGAATCATAGCGTCAATAAACTCTTATGTAAAACAGTAGTGATAGGCAAAGAATCACACACACACAAACAATTAGGCTGGATTTTTTTTCCCGGTTGTTTTGTGTTTCCTTTTTTTCCGAGTCTAACGGTGAAAGAACTTCAAAAGCCATCTTGTCAAGTGCAAAAATAGATCCTTCTAAGAGGCAAAACAATCTCATTTCCATTACAAAAAAWTTTTTCCTTTCTGCACCTTTAATTATAAACAGGTGAGGGAAGATTTGTGAYGACAAGGTTGTTTATTTTATTTTTCCCTCTCTGAGTCAGTGACTGGGCGGCAGATGCTGCGGGGCGGTGACGGTGCACATAGTGAGATGTGACAGTGCTGCTTGTGCTCTCGGGCACCCCGGTGTGCTGGAATCGACGCTTGTGGAGGAATCCCGCTGTTTCAGACAGTGCTGTACCTTTTTTTGTATATTTATATGTGTATAAAAAGAAGATAGGCATTACTTTCCTCATGACAAATGCTGAAGCAATGCTCATGAGAAAGAGAGTAGAGTGTCACGATGAAGACAGCTACTTCAACTTTAGTGAAGAATCAACAGCTTCATTTTATGAAAGAGTTGAGCATTTAGTTTAATCTCGGCTGCTATTTTTTATATTACTAGGTTGTTTCTTGCTTCGTGCTGGGATTTTTAATGCTCAGAATCTCTGTGCATTTGACCATCTTGTCTTTCATCTGTGACAAATCATGGCTTATTCTCTGAAAAAGCAAAGCTCTAACACTCATATTACTCACTGAGTATAAAAACGCTCCAACATTTATTGTACAGCTTAGATTGGCATCTATTGTGAATGTTGACTCACAGAAAACACACTTCTCCAATCATCCTGTAATGGTCTTTCAACTCAACCTCAGACCCAAATTGAGTGACAAGGCTTTTACTTTTTATTTTTYCCCCCCTTGGAAATAACTACCTGAAATTTCTTCTTTTAAACAAAACAACCATTTGGTCTGAGTGCGTGGGATTTAGGGTTTGTAAGTATTGTTCACGTGTTTCCTCCTAAATGTTTGCTTCTCAGCCAGTGTTCAGTRTTTTTTTTGCTTGCCCACTTTGGATTTGGAGCCGTACCCCGAGAAAGATGAAATGCTATCAAAGCCATACTGTTACTTACAGTACAAAAAACTTCCCACATTTTGTTCCGGCACGTTCCAATTTGGCTCCAACAATGTAACAGTTGCTGGTTCCTATTTCGAAAGCATGTTTGAAAAAAAAATTTTGGTGGATTTTTTCCAAGTCCAATTTGAAAACCAGAACAGCATGAAAAGCAAAATGGCCAACTAACAGTCAAGTACCCTGGGACCACAAAATAACTTGAGACCACCATTACTGAGTAGGTGTTTTCTTCTACAGCTTTGACCCTCCCTCCTCCCCTCAGAGTGTTTGCCTTTTTAAATTTTTTTTTGAAGCTTCTCAGTGTTGTGCATTTACCCATGGAGCAGTCGGGCCCCATCCAGTTGGGATCGCAGCTGCACAGGCCGGTGTCTGGTATGAAGGCGCCGTGGCCGTGGCACTGGTCCGGGCACTGGGCTCTGGGGAGCTCACAGTGGAGCCCACCCCATCCGGGCTTACAGTGGCACTCCCCGTTCACACAGATGCCATTGTTGGAGCACAGTGGGTCCAGGCAGTCCACTGCACAAAGCAAAAGAAACAGAAATGTGAGGAAAATGAAGAACTGAAATCCACAGAATCTGACAGGAAGCTTGAAGGTATCACATCATTACTGCCCGCCGCCCTGGGGGGGAATGTGGAGCGACAATGTTTTTGCCTGTGTGTTCCTTTGTACAGTTAGCAAAATATCTCACAAACCAGTGGACAGCTTTGAATGAAACTCTACAACACTTACAACTAATTTAACTCTTAGAGTCATTTTCATTCACAATGGCTGCCACAGCTAAGCTAACTTGCGTTTGCTAAGCTAACTTAGYAAACACAAAAAYGKCTCTAATTCAGTCAATTTAAGAGATATTGGGCTRAAATTTGGTGTGGTAGTAGCTGAGAGTTATCCTCAACACATACTTGGACTGCGGCATCTCAGAACATTGTATAAGATTATTCTGAATGTTATTTTCAAGGTTTGACCAACGTTTAGATTTACATGCTGTTCATTACAGGAAATCTTTGCTTAAAACTCTGCCTTTAACATTGTCTGTTTGCAAAATATCTCACAAACCAGTGGACAGGTTTGAATGAAACTCTATGAGACTTACAAATAATTTAACTTGTTCAGTCATAATGGCTGCCACAGCTGAGCTAACTTAGCAAACACAAAAAATGACTCCAATTCAGTCAATTTTAGAGATGTTGGGCTAAAATTTGGTGTGGTAGTAGCCAAGCATCATCCTCAACACAAACTTGGACTGCACCTTATAACATAACATCGTAAAAGATTATGCAGAATGTTAATTTCAAGGTTTGACCAACGTTTAGCTTTGAGCGCTGTTCATTATGTGAAATCTTTGCTTAAAACTCCACCTTTAATTGCTACAGTCAACATTGTCTGTTTGCAAAATATCTCACAAACCAGTGGACAGGTCTGAATGAAACTCTGCAAGAGTTACAACTAATTTAACTTATAGTCAATTTCAGTCATAATGGCTGCCACAGCTAAGCTAACTTAGCAAACACAAACATGGCTCCAATTCATTCAGTTTTAGAGATATTGGGCTAAAATTTGGGTGGTAGTAGCTGAGAGTCATCCTCAACACATACTTGGACTGCGACATCTCATAACATTGTATATGATTATGCAGAATGTTCTTTTCAAGGTTTTACCAACATTTAGCTTTGTGTGCTGTTCATTATGTGAAATCTTTGCTTAAAACTCAGCCGTTAGTTGTTATAGTCAACATTGTCTGTTAGCAAAATAACTCATGAATCATCAGGCATACTTTAATAAACTTTGAGACCGTAATCATCGAATTCACATCTACAACTGATGTCAACCAAGTCAAGATCTCTACAACAGCTATTACAAATTTGCAAACACAGAAATGTCTCAGTCTTAGATAATTAATTTTACAGAGAATGAGGTAAAGTTTATGTAGGAGTCATCCTCATAACGTGACTAAAGTGGCCATCTTGAATCAAAACTCATGCATGACAGGACATGCATACCTTCGAAGAAAGTTAGACTTTAAATTTTAGGTTTATTTAAGGGAAGATATGAATGAGGACATCGTTAGCTCATTTTGTATAGATGGGAATGAAGAAAGACATAAAACCATTACAAATGCAGTTAAAACACTTAGTAAATAATAGCTGGGTGTTTTATTGAAGCACAGAATCTTTTTCTCTCTGGTAAAAATAATAAAAAATAAAATAAGGCAAAGAGACCCACAGACACATTACTCATTGTGAGCTCTTGGCCTCATCCACGAGCGAGCGGATGCATTTCTGCGTGTCCTCGTGCGTGCCAACACATTGGAGAGAATCTGACACTGTCAGTCTGCCAGGTTGACAGGCAGCTGTGAGTCTGAGCTGTGAGTGAAAACCAATTTGACAAATTACCTCCTCTCGGCAGAGCGCCCACCCATCCACCCCTCTTCAGGCCTGCTGTCATTGCTCCGTCCCGGTCACATTTACTTTRCTCCTCCCCCTCCCCGTCCTGTTATGTGTGACACCCCACCCCACTTCTCCCCCTTCTTCGCCCTCTGCCACCACCAGGCACGACTGACCCCCCCACCTCCTTTTTTTCCCCCTTTAGCACACACAATAATAAAAAGCACACGTGTAACCCCGGCCCTCTGTTTCTGTTTGCCCGGCAGAACCGGCGGATCRCAGTTATCGATTTTCATGTCGCTGGCACTTCAGGTAAATTGTTTGAGGGACTCTGCTGTGATGAATATCTGATTTGAGACCAGAGGAGAAGGAGGAGGAGTGGGGGGATGGATGAGAGGAAACGGAGGGAAAAAAATGAGGTGCAGAGGAGAAAATGCTGACCTTGTTCGAAGGCCTTGTGTTTTGACTCCTTCTATCATTTGATTTCTCTCTTTCCTTTTGTCTTCTCATCTCTTTATCTTCACCCTTGGCTACGCCGCTTTGTCTTTCCCTCCCTCTTTTCCAGATTCTTGCTTACTTACTTAATTACTCACCCTTCTGACTCCCTAACCCTCCCTACTACCCCCCTCCCCACCCCCGCCTCTTCCTTTCCGATGACAGAGAATGCACCCGGCAGATCCTTCTTAACAAGATCAATAGAAGCAAATTCAGCTCTTAATAAAATCTCTGATGTGTTCTGCTGCAGTATCATACTTCATCTGTATATATGGAGGGATCGGACTCTCACTCAGAATAAGATTATCCCACGATGAGCAGTCTATCTTAAGTTGGAGAGCATCAGTCTGTGAGAAGTTCAGTTTAAAACATGCATATTTTTTTAAAGAGCTATGTCTCACTTTTGCCTATTTACTTTGTTTCTACAGAGATACACGGCTGTAAGAAAATATGATCACATCAAATGTTTACACATCTGATACAACCGTAGTGTGATTGAAAATGCACGGTTGCCACAGATTTATTGGTGGTAAACATTTCTATACCCTGTAAAAAAGTACAGTTTTTACCCCCTTGAATGTAGGGATGTGTGATAAAACTACAACACTACCACAATACACACGTGATTAATATCAATATAAAAAACATCTGGCTGAACGTTGATAATTTCACTAAACTCTGATCCAGAACTGCACAGCATTCTGGGGGATGTAGGCAGAGGAAAGGCCTTAGCCTCTCCCGGCCCAGCTAAACAAGGTTGGTGGCATCCACTAACTCACTCAGTCTTTGGTAAGCTAGCAACAACCTGCAGCAGCAGTTTCATGTTTCACCACCGTGCCTCAGAATTGCTTAAAATAAAAGAAGGACGTGGAGTGAAAGGAGAAAGGAGAAAATGAGGCAACAGCTCAAGAGAAAATTGCAGAKAAAAGAGGAAAGGTAACTTCACCAGTTTGGCTGTAATAATGAGCCTTTATTCCCTTGGTCCTTATTTAAAAAAAATAATCAAGAATTATCCATTTCAACTGATATTAAACTTATATGGCATGCAGTTTTTATGCTTTTGTCCTATATCAATCACAGCCAATGTAAATTAGCTTTATTTACAAAAAAAAAAAAAACTTTAAAGTGAAATTACATTTCTACAGAGTAATACCAATGAAATAAAAATATGTAATTAAAAAAGTGCATAAATGATAAAGCATGTGCCATGCTAACATAGTAGTGCACAATTCCTTTACTACCTTTCAACCCAGTACACAGGCAGCATCCATAAGGGGAATGCAATAACGAACATGAATTACGTCACATCGCACTTTATGCTTGAGTATTTTGACCAGCCGGTTCGGATGTTATCAGTCCATTAAATGGACATTATTAGCGGTTATCAGTCCCATAGAATGGCTTCGGACTGTCCCGACAGTGCCCCCTAGTGTGTTAACAGTGCCATATACGTTGGAATGCAACAATCTGCTACCGCTGGAGTCCGGTCTACTTTATCCGAGCCCATGTTATTTTCTCTACAATTAAGCTTAGTGGTTTTATTTCTTATATGAACCAGCTGATAGACAGAGACAGAGAACCCACTAGGCAGCACAGTCGGGACAGTCTGAAGCCATTGTATGTGACTGATAATAGCTAATAACGTCCATTTAATGGATGATATCATCCGAAGCGGGTGATTTTGACCCATGGAAACAAAATTTTAAAACACATCAACATACAAGTACCAACAGTAATCACTTTTATGTATTATAGCCCCATTATGAAAGCACCAGTTCTCACCCTCTGCGCAGTTTTGTCCTTTGTAGCCAATGGAGCACACACAGTTTCCATCAGTGCAGGTGCCATGGCCGCTGCAGAGCGGGTCTATGCATTGTGTGGCTGGGATATCGCACTCGGGGCCTTTCCAGCCGCTGTAACACACGCAGGAGCCTTTGTCGTACTGGCCGTTGCCGCTGCACAGCACAGGGCAAGCGGCTGGACAGGAAAAGGGAACAAAGAACAGCAAAGGGCAAAAAAAAGGGGCAGTTAGTTTGCAGAGCAATGAGAGGACTTCATGCATCCCCACCCGATCACACAGGAAGAAGAATAGAGTGATTAAAGGAGCGAAGAGGGCCAATGACATAAAGAGTAATTAAAGGTAGAGGTATCTAATCTATTCATCTAAGAAGTCTATCCCAGGTGAGCACAGAGCCAGGGAGTCGTTAGCTCAAGGAGCTGCCATTCATCATCAGTCATCTTGTCTCTGCTTCACCTAAAGCCGAGTTACTGCTGTTAATTCCCTCCACCCTTTGCACACAGCTCAAAACATGCTCCTCTTGCTGAATTAGGCAGCGGAAACATCTTTTCGGACCAAATCTGCAAAACAGCGAGTACCTTTGGAGCAGTCCATGCCGTGGAATCCCGGGAAGCAGTGGCACACACCAGAATTACACTCTCCGTTGCCATGGCAATTGCGCGGGCACTCTTGCACTGAATCTGTGAAGAAGACGAAGTGAGACAGAGAGGAAGAGGGTTTAGCGAGTTTGACGCCGAGCATCAAAGCTGCCCATGAAATCATTGGCACCGCTCGTTCTTTAAGATACAACAAATTGAAGGCGCTCCGAGCCTCCCGGCTGCACCGACATCAAAAGCAAACACGCTCCTCTGGGACGCCACGCATTTCTTTTCAGTGCATTTCTTTGGTCTACTCTTTGGTGAGAAGGCACTTCATTCTTCTTCTTTTTTTTTTTTTTACCCCACAAGAAAATTATCATTGTCCTGCAAGCTCTGTCCTAAAATATAGCCATGTTTTCGGGACACTGAAAGAGTATTTTTCCTTATTTCTTTCTTTCTGTGCAGGGTTCAGAGAAATTGTTTACATTTTTGATGAGGCTACCTGGTAAGTGGACATGGACAGGCTTGACTTCCTGTCAATGCTGCAATTAAACAACAGCAAAAGTTCCTACATCTAAAATAACTGCCAAAGAAGTAGAGATTTCTTTAAAAGAATAATTTCTCACAATCTAGATGAAAATTTATGATAGAGGTGTAAAGATATTTGGCAATGACCATTGCCTATGTGCAGATCTGGATAAAACATATGGGCTTTCTTCACAAAAAATGGTGAGAGAACAYGGCTCCTCGTTCTTTTGGAAGGTTCTTGTAGTAGAAATGCAACTTTAAAGGTCTTCAAAACMCTTCTCTGAACTGCTAAACTCAGCTCTTATTTTTGCATGACAAAAATTGCACCAGTCACTTCGTAGCTTCGAGTCTTCTACCCACTTCTTGTCACATCTCACCAGGAGAACTTTTYACGCCCCTCTGCATGAGAACTCACCGTGCAAGTGGTCACWGGCTTGTGGGCATGTTTGTTTATGCTGAAAACTTTCGGATGCTTTATGTTTTCCAACTACTCTTCCAGAATCTGATTGTGGTAACCAGAAGAAGACATTTAGAAAGACAGTCAAATGGTCAAAAACTCACGGATGGAGATAAAAGAAAAAGTGAAAGCCCTTTAACCGGGATAGATATCAGTTTTTTTTTTCTTTTCCAGGATGTAGACTCCAGAGGGAACAAACCCTGTGCAGTGATACCACAGCAGGACCCCGGGAGCTTGACGTGGTGTGTCTCATGGACAGGTGTACGCTAAAATCACGACTGCATGTCAACTGGTGGGCTTCGGATGGAGTATAACAGGCCCTTAAGTGATATTCATATCGTTTAAAATGGGGTTCCATGGAAATGTTTTAAACAACAGCTCTGTTGGAAGATAGACTTGTAGGAGTTGGGAAAGCAAAGGGTTAATAACAGGTGCTGCATTCCACTTCTGCAAATGTGCAACTTCCTCGAAATGGAATGCAGTCCTTGTTAATACATTAATTCGGTAATCTGTTGTAGACATCTCAYTGAAAAAATGTATTTTTAACCCGGAGAGTTAACAGCTGGTCAAAGCTAAAAACTCATCCAAGTTAATAAGTAGCTAGCTAAAGTTATATACTTTATATACAGTATCTTAGAGATTAGAGTTGCTTTAATATAATACTAATCCACTTTAGCCTTGGACATGTTTAGTTTAGAGGTTTGGTCAGAAATAAACTCTCCAAACTGAGGTTGTTCACTGGCTTTTCCATGGTGCTTGTTTACTCCTCACTTCTGCCTGGAGCAGAATCATTAATACTTTGTTCAGGTTGGGGTTGCTTGGCACAGCAGGGCAGATTTAGCTGGACTGAGTGTATGAGGGTGTGTGTGTGTGTGTGTGTGTGTGTGTG